GAACGTGGTTTGGCGGGGTGGGTGGGTGGGGCGGGAGTGCGGTAGAAAATGATTTATCGCGCTGCCTTCACTTACAGGGCTTTCAGTCAGCTCCTGTATCCGACATTCGAGCGGTTCCAACTAAAGAGGCGCTTCTCTCAGTATGTATTCATTCCGTATTAACATGAAACTGAGGTGGTAGCATACGGATTGATAAAGATGATCACTGTGATGATCATAGTTTTGCCTTGCCGTTATCCTCATAGTCATTCTGACTGTCAGAAAATATACTCAGCTGAAATCGATAAAGCGCTATCTAACAACGACCTCATATTCGTTCACGCCTAGTACCGTCTCTCTGTTCCCGTCGAACTGGACAAATTATCGTCATTCTCCGAGATGCAGCCGCCCGATGCAGTTCAGTTTCAGTTTAAACAACCATTAATCATGCACTTTCATACGACGGTCTTAGTTGCTGTCTTTTGGTTGCCCATTTGGATGAACAGTAGCAGAAAGACAGGAAAGTTGAAAGTAGAGTCGAATGTAAAATGGATAGTTTCAGTGGTCTAAGGTTGCAAAGAAATTGAGAAGATGCACGAACACCACTGTTGACGATACTCAGCCGTTTCACGCAGTGTCTGTAACCATCGGGTACGATCATCCTGAGTTCCTCAGCCAGGGAGTCTAACGGGACCTGTGTGACCCAGATTCCTGGTTAGGGTTTTCATACCCTCATGCCAGGTCTTAGTTTGACCACCCTTGGCTTTTTCCAGCCACCACTTGCCTCAGCAAACATCGCTCGCCGTGGCAACCTATCTGGTGGCATGTCTAACTTATGCCCCAACCAACGTCATCTGTGGAGGTCGACCACTTGCCTCACTGGGCGACCGCAGTTACCCAAAACTGCGCCGCTCGATGCACGTTGATTTTAATTGTAATTATGATTTCTTTAGGTTTGGTGCTTACATTTCAATCGATCATTGGTGAGCAAAAAGTCTGACGTGTTTACTTTCGGAAGTCTCTTCTGATTACAAGTGCATCGCAGTCACTGATGGACCAACAAAACACGTGGAACTAAACGATGCGCCGAAGATTTCCATTGGGGAATTTCGACAGAACATCAGCTGTAAAGAAGTTTGTTTTCGATAAATTATTCATCTGGCTGCGGCAGATATACATGCTTTTGTGCATATATTCAAATGTATCCAAACTATGGTAAAGATGCTGAGAAGTCTTTTACGAGTGGTTGAGATAAAAATTAGAACAAAGAAGCAATAACAGTTTGGGAGTAGCTGATAAAAGGGGTCGTAAAATGGGCTTCGTCACATACTTCCAGTTCGCGTCGAAAAGTCATACAGAAGGTCACAATGGACGGATTACTTTTGCGAGTATACAGTTGGTTGCATTAATTTTACTGCTACGGCTGATGCACTCACCAGATGAGCTTAGCGAAGAGTATTGAATGGATTTGGTGGCACGGCGTAGATGATTTGGAATGCATCGTCTTTCCCCTTCTATTCAATATCCTTAAGATCTGATCTTACCTTACTGGATATGGATCCTGTGGTCTCCGTGTTCATTCCGGTCAAACTGTGTCCCCTCAAGGGAACTTCTGCTGATAATCCTGACTGCTACTGAATATGTGCAACTGTAGGAATGATCTGAACAAAAAAGCAATCGACACTTTGTCTTTAACACGCTCGAACCGCGGTAAAATTCGCACTCATGGGACACGGGAGGGCGTAGTCTTGACCTCAGTATTCACGTGCACTCGCCGACTAGGACAACACACAAACTCAGTGTATATCAACAGCCACTATGATGCGTAAGTTGTTCACCATAAAAGCACAAACATACCACACACTGAGTGGACTNTGTGGCTGTCTGAAGTTATGGAATAGGAAGTCACAATGTGCTGCGTGGAATCAGTGAACTCTTTTCTCTCATGCACAATCGTTTTTAACAAGTGGAGTGCACACTAATGACGATATTCTTTGCGTCATGTTGCTCAAAACGTCATCTGTGCTCACGAAATCACCGTACTCGTTTGAAGCAATACACTCGTCAGTTACGGAAACTGAATGATTGTTCGCTTTCCCGAACACCTCGTTGGACTGATAATCAGACCTTCATTCACCATTTACTCTTGTATGGTCACGCGCATTGTTTAGTAGCGACCAGACAGAATTCACAATGGGCAGTGCTGCAAAACGCAATTTATCCGGACAAACTTTCACGCCTGTCTTGGGAGTGGTGACTTGGAGCAGCAGCAGCAGTTGTCCGCAAAACCGTCACTCACATCTCAGTAAGCGGGTCCGCTTTTTTGCCGCTAACTGTATGTTTCACAATGTGTTCTCTTGTCGCTGTTGTTGCATGCGGTTCTACCCCAAGTGCAAAATCACATTCGCATGCTGTGTTTCGTTATCAGCGACAATCCAGAACTTGAGGCTAAATTTGTCCGGTTTACTCGGCTTGTGCGTTATCAACTTCGAACGCATATTCACTGGTATAATCTAGCGAAAGCGAAGTGTGTTCGGTTTACCAACTTGTCGGTGTCAAATTTCTCTCACACAGTCAGACGAATCAGTATCCCTTCGTCTGTATGAACTGATCCTGTTGTCTAAACGTCATTTTTTACCTCATAAAATTGATCATGGGTCGTTGTATTGCGACAAAGGGGTATATCAGAAGTATTTTCTTTGATAAATCAGCTGAGTAGTGAGCTTAGACGTAAAGTATACAAACCAGTTGTAAATTGACACATGCCTTCAGTAATTTCTCCCGAATAATGCCACACCAAACTAACCCTGAGCTGATAGAAGTATATGGAAATACAGAAGCAGAACAAAGAAAAAAACAATCGTTTTTCACTTTTTGAATTGCAGACGTGGAAGAGTGCATTCATGCCACTGACTTCGGTTCGATGCCATGTCCTGCGCTATCTCCAGCCGATGATAGTCTGAATTTTTGGAGCTCCAGCCCGGGAAGCCCCGACGGAAACCAGTTCCAAACACAATCCTTTC